CCACTGTTGAAACTGATCAGTTTCAGCAGCGGCTGAATCTGGACGCCAGTTCCGACTTACATACAGATTCAACTTAAGAACAAACCTACAGTCCCTATCTTGTACGTAACCTGGGGACTGCCTGTATTACAATATTTATTATAACTAAATATTTTTGAGATGTTCCTCAAAACATTCAATCTAAATATTTTCACTTTATTGTTATATTTCAGAATGGGGAAAAATTTAATTTTAAGTTTTAACTGAATTTGTCTACATGGTTTTTTTGCAGGTATAGATTTAAATAGCATTTCCCCAATTGGAAGACAGCTAACTGTGCAACATGGAAAAAACAATGGTTGGTATAAAATAGTATCTATGACACAAGGAATGTGCACTCAAAGAAATAAGAAGCTTTTATGTAAGCTAACTGAACCCGTTTTAAAAGCAAGTTTGTTTGTCCTTAGTACTACAAGGGTGCTTGAGCACACACCTAACTTTAAACACAAGTAGTCTTATTCAGCGGAACAACTTAGTGCTTAAAGTTAGCAAAGTATTTACAGTACCATTTAAAGAGCTTGTGTGTAACAACCCTTTTCACGAATTTCTGAGCCTGATTCACTCCTTTATATTATTGCCAGTTCAGGAACCCAGTGCTAATAAGTTTTCCTCATGACAACACATTCATGTTTCACTAATTTAATTAGCTATGTGTTGAATACGATTTAAAGTTAAATCTTTTACTTGCACGACTTGACGAAGTTTCTGTAGTCTAATTGCATTGTTTTTTATTCATTGCAGCTGCTTGTCAGACAATATTGTCTTTGCCTGTGGATTTTAACTTAGAAAAAATATTAGGTATGTCATGTGTTGTACTTTACATATGAATGTCTGTACTGCAATCTGTTTTGCAACCTAATTGGGGATGAAGGTTGAACAGTTTTCTGGTGGCACTGTGAGAGGTCAAATCAGGGTGAATTGCTTAGAAATAGGGCTAGTTACAGCTCAAGACCGGGGGGCCCTCCACTAAAGGACACCAAACCACTTACAAAGAACACTTCTGCTTGCCACACTGGCCATCAAGAAGCATGCAAGCAACTCCCTATACACTCCCAGATTCTCCTGTGCTACAAGAAGTACCACACCTTACATTGATTTTCATAACCGCTCAACTCATCAAATCTGAACAGGTTCTTACGATCCCAAAGGATCAGCCACATTCCCAGATCAATTTATACCTCAGATTTTACCCAAAAAAGCATGCGGTGCCAATCCTTTAGACTCTAAAATCTAAAGGTTTATTAATGAAAGAAAGAAAAGGTTAAGAATAAAATTATTTAAGGAAAAATTACATATACCAACTGTGAAGTTCCTGATGCAGACTTGTAGTAGAGATGGATTAAACTGTTAATTTTAGTCTCTGGAATACATCCTTTGTTATGATGAGCCGGGCTCGACAAACTGCTGTTTTTTCAGCCAGTCACTCCATGTGCCCCATTCACCGGCGCTGTGCGCATGCGCAGTGCTGGTCTGACTAGTAGCTCTCACTGCAGTTTGTCGAGCCCTGATGATGAGTGTCAGTCCTTTTAGGTTCAGTTCATAGCAAAGCTGCTTCTAAAGTGGTGAGCTGGAATGAAGTCATAATGGAGGAACTCTCCAGGGCCCTCTTTATACCCTTGCCACATGAAGGGAATTCCATTGTTTGCCTTATGTGAAAGTAACTCATGAAATGGAGTTTGTCACATGAGCAAGTCACCTGTCCATGCATGACTTAGTCTTTAGAAATTGTTGCTTATATGCTGGTCTGAATGTTCGCAGCAAAGTTCCTCAGTTGTGGATTGGCAACATTGTCAGTGAAGTACTGCTATTCCCTTGACTAGCCACCCTTTCACCGTAGGTGGGCGAAGCCTGTTTTTATCTCCTGGAAGCAAACATTTTGAAATATATGTACATAGCTAATACTCAGGGCCTGACAAACGGAGGTGAAATCTACTCGCCAGCCCCGCACTGTGCATGCACAAGATCCGCATTGCGCATGCGCGCGCCGCTGGTGAGCAGGGCAACTGGCTGAAATCTACTTGCCATGGGCAAGTAGATTCACTGATTTGTCAAGCCCTGTTAATACTCATCAACTTCAAATACAAAAATGATACATGCATATACCGTAACTATTATAAACAGAGTTAGTGAGTTAGTTTTCTAGAGCCTATCTCACTTGGCGCACACTATACAAGATTTGATGCAAACATATAAAAGTCGTTGCAGCAATATTTTGTATGTTTGTATCAAAATGCAGTCACGTCACAGAGGTACAGTACACTGGAAACCAAGTGGAAATCAAAATTGAGTATTTAGAATTTTCAACTTACTGGAAATAAAATTACTCTATCACTACTACTGTTTTATGACTCCTTCCCATCTCTTAAGTACATTTCTCTTTGAACTCTGATCTATATCTCTTTCTCTTGAGAACCTGATAAACCATTTTCTATCTCAGATAAAACTCCACAAAGTGGCTCTTAAGTTTTATCCTTCTCTACCTCTGCATTGCATTACAAATTGGTAATAAGGAAAATATTGATTGCATCTTTAATGACAGTTTTGTTAGACAGTTTTCCATTCAGAAGAGTTTCCAGCCTCCTGGCTGGGTATTTCTTGCCTGTGCAGCTTTTCTTGAGTGAGGTGATGAGAATTTGCATTCTGCCACATAATAATCATTCATGTTTTCTCTAGAGATGTAAAGTTCTGGTTAAAAATGTTTAATAGGTTAATTGTGATCCTACTGGAGGGGAGGTCTGCTCTGGGCCAGGCCCGCTGTGCCGCTAGTTAACTGGTTATCCTGGTAAGCATGCCAGTAAGTTGCATGCTTACTGGGTAACTGGTTAACTCTTTACTTCCCTTTGAGAAAAGTAGGGATGTAGAGAGAGAGGACGATGATACTGGAGTGGTTCAGAGCATGGAAGACAAGAGATATTTGAGAGGACTTGGAAAAGGCAAACAAAGGGAATGAAAGCAATCTGGGAATTACAGACCAGCTAGCTTAACTTCAGTACCCAGAAAGATAATGGAGCAAATAATTAAGCAGTCACTTTGGAAACGAGGTGATATGCAATAGGATGGATTTGTCATGAACAAATGTCAAATCAACTTAATTTTCTTAGACCGAGTAATAAACCTTGAAGATAGGCGAGAAGTGGTAGGTGTTCTAGTAAGACTTTTGATACTCTCTCACCTGACCTTCTGATAAACAAAGTCGGGAAATACAATGTAGAAGGAGCTACTATAAAGTGGATGCATAACTGATTGGAAAACTATTCTCAGAGAGGATTTATCAGTGGTTCATAGTCAAGATGGAAGGGCATATTGAGAAGAGGTCTCCTAGGGATCGGTCCTGGATCCCTAGTTTGTGGACAACAACAAGCTGAAAGGAGTTGCATGTGCTTTGGAGAACAGGATTAAAATTCAAAATGATCTGGAGAAATGGTCTGAGGTAGTGATGTTAAGAAATGTGTAATTTGTTAATCGTGCAGTTGACAAAAATGTTGTTGACTACGTGAATAATCAATAAGGGTTTGCACTGCAAGCACTTAGTCCCAGCTTGTGTAGAATCTGGCAACTACCCTCCTTGCAGCTGTGCACTAAGTATTTTAGGAGCTGGTGGGTAGGCAGACTGGCTCAGACCCGGCTTGTGCTGGGTCCTGGGAGCTACATCTTCTGTGGTACATGAACAGTAATTTAGTTGCTGGTGAGCAGACAGTCTGGTTCATTTGCAGTTAATCATTTAAAAGACTACACTATTACATCTCTAATCTGAGGTAAATAGGGTAATATTCAGTAAGGACAAATGCAAAATACTCCACTTAGGAAGAAACAAGCAATTGCACATATACAAATGGGAAATGACTGTCTAGGAAGGAGTCCAGCAGAAAGGGATGTAGGGGTCATAGTGGATCAGAAGCTAAATGTGAGTCAACAGTGTAACACTATTGCCAAAAAAGCAAACATCATTTTGGGATGTATTAGCAGAAAGTTGTAAGCAAGAAATGACAAGTAATTGTTCTGGTTTACTCTGCACTGGAGTATTGTGTCCATTTGTGAGTGCACCATTTCAGGAAAGATGTGGACGAATTGGGAAAAGGCCAGAGAGTAGCAGCAAAAATTATTTAAAGGTCTAGGAAACATGACCTTTCAGGAGAGATTGGGGAAAAATAGATTGGGTGTTTTACTCTCGAAGACTGAAAAAGGATGTAAGTTTTCAGGTACATAAAAGGTTCTTAGAGGGGCGAGGGAGACAGATTGTTCTTGTCAGCCTCTGAAGATAGGACAAGAAACAATGGGCTTACATTGCAGCCAGGAAGGTTTAGGTTGTACATTGGAAAGACTTCCTGTCTGGGTAGCTAAGCATTTAAATAGCTTGCCTAGGAAGGATGTGGAAATACCCTTATTGGAGTTTTTTCAGAGCAGTTTGGGCAGCTACCTCTCAGGGATGGTCTAGATAAGGGGCAGTAAGATACCAGCTGTATCTGGCCCACCAAGCCATCCAACCTGTGGGCCGCCTGGTAAGGTTCTTGTCCTTTTTTTTCCCCTATATTTTTCTTTAGATTGGAGAAATAAGACAAGATTGGCTAAATAACTTGCAAACATTTTTTTTTATTTTTTCTTTAGGTGAATATTTTAGAACAGAAGAATTTGCAGACCAGTCTCAGGAAAGCCTAAGCTCCTCATCACTGAGAAGAAAGCTGTTTTTAGATGAGAATGGAAGTGTATCTGAGTGTTTATCTCTTTCTCCACAAAGCCCTTGTAGTAATCCACAACCATCACTTGGAGTGCTATGTTCAATAGATATCTCTCCAGCCCGGTGCAGGAGCCCTCTAGAAACATCTAGTTCAGTAAGAAGCCTTTTCACTTTTTTTGTGTTTGTATTGATTTGGCTGGCACACACAAAATCCTTAAAGCAGCAGAACCACTTCTGAGTGTATCTGATCTGTTGTCACTAGCTCAAGTGCCACTTTTGAATAGTCTGTACCACTGAAGTAAGTAAGGAATGGTGTTAAGACCAAGAATCTACACTACGAGAAAAAGTCATAGTATTTGAAGGGAAAGTATGCAAAACATGATTTTAAAAAGAAAAGCAGGTTTTTTTTTAGGTAAACTTTAAGGCTTCTGTTCTCAAGGGGATTATTTGTAGCAATAGTGGAGTTGTATATGGACAGTATAAAATATAGAAGGGGAATTTGGGGCTTTCTCGTTGTGCATATTGTAATGAGTAATTTCATTGTAGTGTTCCCTAGTGTGCTTTAGCATTCTACTGTTTCAAACAACTTGGCTTTTAAAGCATCCGGGGAATTTTCAGTGCAGACCAGGGATGTAAGCAATAGTCGACTAGTCGCTTCCCCCTTCTTGCTGCCTCTATCAGAGGCAGCAAGGGAAGAAGCAAGAGCAGGAGCCAGTGCTGGGTGGAGCTAGCTTAAAAGCCACTTCCCCCTAGCATCATCTCCATAGGGGGTGTAGAGGCGCAGCGGGAAACAGCATGAGCAGGGACTGAAGCAGGCTCCGCTCATGCCTCTTCTGCTGTGATTCTGCTTTTGAAATGTACAAGAGCCCCAGCAGGTCTTCGATAGTTGCATTGGCAAAAATGCTGAGAGTAGGTGCGGAAATACCTCCAAAACTCTGCTTTTACCAGTAGACCATAATTTTGGTAGGGAGGCTAGAATAAGCTATTTTGGCAAAAACACAGTTTTGCACCAAGCCCTGGTACAATTAGTGCTTTGCCAATATAATATACTGGTTATATCTATGACAGCAAAGATTTCCTACTTCGGATTTGGTTTGAGATAAGAGTGTAGCTTATCTGTTTTGGCTGACATCAAAGTTATGTTCTTCAGATTGTGTGGTTTCCTTTAAAATAGCCAACAATGGCAGTGTGCGTGCTACTCAGCTGTCACTGCATTGGAAACAACATGACATTCTGCTTTGAGGTCTCTACCAATTGGGAAATGAAATATTGTAGGTATAACCATAATAAAAATAATAAACAGTGTTTTGGCTGTTCATTAGGAAAATTCTTTATTCAGTAGTGTGACTTCTATTATACTATGTTATGATTGATAACATAGTCTTAATTACTATCTTTTTTTGGAAGCATTGGATTTCTTATGAAGCATTATAAAAGTTGAAGAATTTCAAATGGAACATTCAAGCATGTTCATCAGTCCATAAATTTACATTATGTAAAAGCTAACTCTTACTCTTTGTTGTTAAAGGGTCAGTTTTCCTCCAGTCCCATTCAGGGAGGTACAAGGGCATACAGTCTGGGAAGCATTACCAGTCCCACGTTTCCAGAGAGGTCCCCTGCAAATATTGCTTCCCCCACTTTTTCTCCAATTGCTTTTCAGATAAGAAAAACACCATTGTCAGGTATGGTTTTGATGGTACATACAGTCTCCTTTCATGCAGCTTTTATGTCTTTTGATGAAAAAATGATCAATTTACAGGCAGTTAGTGGGTAGTCTCATTTAATATGGCACATTTAGCAGTAAAGTGTCATCAATGTAAATTTTTGAAATGTTTACCTGACCAGAATTACCTAGTGTGAAAACTAATTTCAACTTAATCTTAGGCTCAAATTTAAGATGCTAAAACTGTGTTTCAACTAATTTGATTAATTAATTAGTTTAGAAACCTAGTGCATGCTTATCCATATCAGACTTTTTGTAATTCATTGCAGTTTGGCAGCTTTGGGTAGTCTGTGTTCTGTAAAAGCTTAATCTGTTTGCATAGCTGATTCAGTCAGAACCTGCTGAGTTACTTTGGCAAAGCTATGTACTGGTTGAACCTCTCTGGACCAACATCTGTGGTCCGGCATGATTTTAGGTAGCTGGATGTCTGCTTATTGTGGGTGTGGTTCATTTTCTTGTGGTTCCATACAGTTTGTTTACAGCCACAAGGCCTGGTTCTGTGTTGTATGCTCTTCTGGTCTAATTTACTCCTAAGGGTCTGTCTGCACAGCAGCGTTATTTCGGAATAACTGACATTATATCAAGATAACAAAATGTGTGTCTACACAGCAAGTCATTATTTCTTAATAATGTTGAGTTGGAGGACTTCTTACTCCGACTCCTGTAACTCTCATTTCACGAAGAGTAAGGGAAGTCTGGACAGCACCAAAAGCCAAATTAAGCTATTTCGACTTAAGCTATGCAGTTGACATAACTGAAGGTGCATAGCTTAATTTGACTTTAGTTCTGCTGTGTAGATGTACCCTAAATATCTTCTCGGAGACCAGTAACCAGAGAAAGTGTTGGCAACAGTGTTCCCTCTAAGATTTTCCATCCTTGGGCGGGTTGACATTTCTTATGTGCAACACCAATATTGTGGTAGTGTATGGATGTGCACCCACCAGTACAAACACAAACTGTAGATATAAAGAATATAAATATTCCATAGGTGTGTGAGGAAAATATATTAAAACAAGGGATAACTAACAAGGAGCAATGCTTATGATTATTTAATGTGAAATCGAATAAACAGAAAATTGACACTACCCTTGGCTGAAGAAGTGGGTTGTGCCCATGAAAACCTCATGATACTATTTATCTATTTTTTGTTAGTCTAAGATGTTACAGGATTATTGTTGTTTAAGTTTTTTTTAACTACAGACTACCATGGCTATGCCTCTGAGACCTTGGAGTATATGCATCATCATTCTTTCTAACAGACAGATGTATGTTTCAAAGATATTGCAAGTAAGGTGTCATCCTACAAAACAGTGAGCATCACACCTAGTACTTGCTACCTCTGACTCATAAGAGCCAGAACTCTACCAGATAACAAAGATCTCGCCTTAATGCAATACTGTACAGTTTACCATGTATTAATTAGTAACACAGGCTTTTAAAAAATCATTAAGATAGCTGCAACACTCAAACAAATTTTAGAAGAATCTTTCTTTTTTTTTTTTTTCTTTTCTTCTTCTTACCATAAGCCATTAACATGGGAGTGGGCAATCATTTTTGATGATGGCCACTCCAAGAATTTGGTATGTGGCCAAGGGCTGCACTCTTTTATTATATTAAAGGGGGTCTAGGATGGATGTTGGGTGCAGAAGGGAGCTTGCGGTAAGGGATTCAGGTGTGGGATCCAAGAGGGAATTTGGGTGAAATAGGGGATCATGAGCTGGAGTGACGGACTGGGAGGGGTGACCTGGGTCAGAAGTGCAGGAGGGGGTGCAGGTATTTGGGCTGTGACCAGGGATAGTGGATTGGGATGCAAGGTCTAGGAGGGGATGCATTCTCTGGGAACATGTATGGGGGCTGGAGCAGGGGTGTAGAAAGTTTGAGTTATATGGGGTAAGGGGGCAGAGGGTTGGGGAAGGGCAGGGCTGGAATGCCAGAGAGAGACCTTTCCTGGGAGACTTTTTTCACCCCTGTACATGCTCAGGGCAGCTGCAGGGGCCATGTTTATTGCTCTGAACTGAATGCTGTGAGCCTGGGGGGGTGAGAGAGGAGGGGCACTTCACATGCTGCCTGTCCTGCAAACAGGTAGTTGCTACTGGTAGAATCCAGCCAGTGGGAGCTACTGGGGGTGGGGGCAGCATGAGATGCCAAGGGGCGCAGGGAGTGGTGCTTCATGCACTGCTTCTGCCCCCAGCATAATCCCATTGATCAATTTCTGGCGAGTGGGAGGGAAAACACCATTCTTCCTCCCCCCCAGGTTATTATTCATCAATGCACATGGCTCCTGCAGCGTGAGTGGTAGAAACCAGCCAGTGGGAGCTACTGGGGGTGGGGGCAGCATGAGATGCCAAGGGGCGCAGGGAGTGGTGCTTCATGCACTGCTTCTGCCCCCAGCATAATCCCATTGATCAATTTCTGGCGAGTGGGAGGGAAAACACCATTCTTCCTCCCCCCCAGGTTATTATTCATCAATGCACATGGCTCCTGCAGCGTGAGCAGGGGCGGGGCAGGTAGGGAGGCTGCTTGAGAACCTTTCCCTCCCCCCCAGTCCTCTCTCCCCCCACTCCTACTCCCCTACCCTATGTAAGCCAAACCCTCTGTTCCTTTCCTGAACCCATATCCCCTCCGAGACACTGTACCCAATCTACTGCTTTAGGTCACAACCCAAACCTCTGCACCCCAGTGCAGTGCCTCAGGTCACAACCGCCTCCTTCACCCAAACTCCCTCTCAGACCCCACACACTCTCCTGCATCCCAGTTCCTTACCTCAAGCTCCCTTCTGCACCCAGCTTCCATCCCAGACCCCACACCTCCTACATTAATATTATGAAAGAGTGCAGCCCTTGACCACTTTCCCAAATCGTGGAGTGTCCCCCTCCCCATAAAAAATTATTGCTCCTATGTTAGACAATGTTGACCTCCCGTAGTTTGGCAAATTCTCTGGTTCAGCACTGGTCAGCTCCCAAGGGTGCCAGGCAAGAGAGGTTCAACCTGTATAAAGAATAGCTACTTTCTACTTTACTTTGATTGTGTAGTTCTACAAAGTTTTTTGAGAATGAAATTATCGGACTTCAATGTGTTCTGCAGAATCTACAGTACAGTAAACTTCCGATAATCCGGCACCTTTAGGACCCAGGGGGTGCTGGATTATCAGAAGGGGGGGGCTATGAGATGTCTGGGGTGGGAAGGATGCCACCCCAGACCCCTCATAGCCCCCCCTTCCGATAGTCCGACTCTGCCCCAGGCGTCCCTGATTCAGCCGCTTCTGGTCAGTTTCAGCAGCGGCTGAATCGGGGATGCCTGCAGCAGAGCAGCTGGAGTGCTGCCTGGTTGGTCCTCGGCGCTACTGTACTAACCCCACAGCGCCCCAGCTTCTCTGCCCCAGGTGTCCCCAAGTCAACCGCTGCTGATACTGATCAGTGGCTGACTCCAGGAAGCCCAGGGCAGAGCTGCTCTGCCCAGAGCTTCCTGGAGTCAGCCGCTGGTCAGTTTCAGCAGCTGCTGAATGGGGACAGCTGGGGTGCTGCCGGGTTGGTCCCACAGCCCCAAGGGGCAGCGCTACAGGACCTACCCAGCAGCACTCCAGCTGCTCTGCCCCTGGCCTTTCAGCCGCTGGTCAGTTTTAGCAGCAGCTGAATTGGGGAAGCTGGGGACAGAGCAGCTCCAATGGTCTGGCTGCCCGGAGCACTTCCGGGTTCCTGATGGTGCCGGACAATCAGGAGTGCCGGACCATTGGAGTTTTACTGTACTTGCCTATTGTGAAGTTTGTTATTGGACTGCAAGATTTTGGGATGAGGGCTGTTCATTTTGACAGTTTGGTACTGCCATTTGAAAACGTGGCCTCTGCTGTAGCAGAGCCACTCAGAGAGAGCAAATCTTTGAGTAAGCAGAATTAAAGGATTTCAAAGTATGAAACACAATGTGTGTGTTTGTCTGATTGATGGCTTTAGTACCAGGAGATGATATTCAGTCACAACCTAGTGTGGCTGTAACTGTTCTAGTGATTTCTTGTCCTAGACTGTTAGCTTTTCCTCCATTTTATATGAATTAATTATTCTGTTTTTACTATGCACAGAACAAAGAAAGTTGACGTTTCGCTCTCCTGATGTTCCTTCTGCACCAGTGTCAAACAGAATGACACCCTCAAGTACTAGAAGTCCTTACATCGATGGTTGTTCTCCAATTAAAAATTGCTCTCCTATGAGACTTGGCGCTTGCAGAGGGACTGCACAGTATCAAACGTCACTCATTAGGATACCATTTACCCTTGAAAATCACAACGACGAGGCAGAAGACAAAGAGAATGCCCCACCTGCTGAAGTTCTGTTACCACAGATGGACACTGGAGTAAATTTACGGCAGCAGGATGGTGATTCTTTTGCACATGGCACACATGTTGTTGTGGCAACTGTATCTATTTCACCAGATCACTCTGAAGCTTGTGAACAAGGACTAGCATCATTGCAGGATATAGAAGGTTTAAAGGAAAATAATACTGTTGATATGGTTGATACAGTTGAGGTGTCAGATGAGAACGCCTGGGTTAAGGAATGTGTTGGTAATAGCAGTATGCCAATGACCAGCTTCATGACTGGAATTACTTTCAGTATTGAAAGCTCTCACATGTGCATATCGCCTCTTGCAGAAAGCAGTGTAATTCCTTGTGACAGCAGTAGTATTCAGGTAAGGGTTTTTGTTTTATTTAAATAATTAGTTTCAAGGAAATATTTCTTATGCTACCACAATAGTAAATTTGGATTAATCCCAAACTAGTATTGATTCTGGTCGACCAATTTACTGCCTTCTTTTGTTCTGAATGAATTTGCAGTTGATGAAATTACTATAGAATGCAGCATTCTTTTGTTTCTTAAGTCATAAATAGATTTTCAATTTTATTTAAGCCTGCAGTTATATTCACTCATAAAATATGCAAGCCACACACATGTAGCCGAGTCATTTTGGATAGGAGGTCCTCAAAAAAGTCCTGGTTTCTGAAGGTAGTAAAGTTGGTAATTCCGCTGTGATGATATTAGTAA